GAGAGAGAGAGAGAGAGAGAGAGAGAGAGAGAGAGAGAGAGAGAGAGAGAGAGAGAGAGAGAGAGAGAGAGAGAGAGAGAGAGTAAAAAACATTCAGGGAGGAACGAGCAAGGCATGTGTAAAGATAGAAGTAGGCAGCGAGAATACATGTGAGAGCGAGAAACTTACCTTTTCTGTTGTTTGAACGACAGACTAAGTTACCTGTGTGTTGTTTGAAGTTTGAACGACCATAGCTGCTGTGTTTGGAGGAGACAATTCAGTTTCCTTCTGTTGATTGCCGAGCGAGACTATTTTTGGAGTCTTATTCCATGTGTGTTTACTGTGTTTTCGGAAATGTGTGAGATTTATGTGCAAGTTTGCAATGCATTGTGGTCGCAAATACATCCATTGCCCGAGAAAGAAAGAGGAGGCTTTCTAGGAGGAACTTGTAAAGTGGATGTTTGAATGCTGTGTTTGTATGATGAGGGATGCTGAATCCAGTTTGGTGCAGCTCCCCACCAATAGATGGAGCCTTGGCAAAAGGAGCCATTTCAGGGGTGTTCTTCTATCATGTGCTTGTGCTTCGATTGGAAACACCTAACCTGAAGCCTTTTCGGCGTGCCAGATACGCCGAACAGATAACTGCTGATGTTGCCTGCTTGGTGTGTCAAATACTTGCAACGAATAGCTGCTGATGTTGATTGATGGAAATGAAACCGAGTCTCGCAAAGTTAGTGAAGAGAAGTAGTGCTGCTGATGTGCACGAGGAGGATGAAAAAAATAATGTGCATGAGCTACTGTAAAAGTGCAACGTAATGATTTGCCCTCTAATTGTTTCGAATGCTGATGGAAATGAATCTCGCAAAGTAGTCCAAATCATTGCTGATATAAACAGATGTGGAGGGCAATGCTCTTCTTCTTCTTCTTCTTCTTCTTCTTCTTCTTCTTCTTCTTCTTCTTCTTCTTCTTCTTCTTGTCGAGGTAATCTGAATCACTTTCAGTGAGGATGGCAGTGAAGTTCATGTGACACTACATTTCATCATCATCAT